CTTCAGTAGTAGAGAAAAGTGAATCATCAAATCTTTTACTAAACTTACCTGATTTTTAATATTCTAACAAGGCATATTCTGGTAACTGATTTTTTACTATCTCTGAAGTTTATTTTCATAGAGCAGTAAAATTTAATACCATAAGAAAACAAAATTGAACAAAACTCAGTAACGTAAGTAAAGAAGAGAACAACAGTTGGGGAAAGAAGGCAGCTTTATTATGTCATTCAGCCATACACAATTCACAACATGTGGCATTTAGATTGAATAATAAAGATCAAGTACTTAATATCTTATGTTTTTTAATGTTGATAAAATCACAGTATCAGAAAAATATACTTAATATAGTACTAAAATAATATTTATAAAATTTATTAAAGTTTTACGTAATAATTAGTGAAAATCTACTCAACAGTCTTGTAATGCAGAGATTTATCATTTGTTATTTTTCTTTTAACTGTTTGCTCAATTACCAATACTCAGTTTTACTTATTTATTTTTCTATAACGTATCTGAACGAATAATTTATATTTTGCTGCATGTTTAGAATTTTTCTTTTCTAGGTATCAGACTTATAATTCAAATAACATTTTCTTTAAATTGTTTTTTGTGCACTTCATAAACACACTCTTAAAATGTTCCATTGAAAAATAATTTTCAATATCTAATGCGAATTAAATAAATTATTTTGGGTTTACATTGCTTGAATATATTTCATTCATTGTTTATTTAGTAATCAATTAAAAGGAGGAAAACATAGAGAACCTAGCTTAGTTAGGAATTATCAATAACTGATAGCTTTAGGGAATAATGTAAAAAATAAGTTCTGGAAAATGAAAAATTTTGTCTGGATACATATTTTGTAGAGGAAACGTACCGCAAAATCACGATACTGAAAATAAAAATAAAAGTAAAATAATAATAATAATGGTAAAAGCACCCCCAACAATAATAATAAAACACAAACTAAAGCCCGACAACTTTGAAACAGACTTGGTTGCGCGAACTTCAGAATAAGTTCACCTAAGGGAGAAAGATGTATAGTTCATAATTATAGTTAAATGCCGCCGATTACAAAAATAAAAACTCTGTATGCATATTTACATTTTTCAAAATATTTCAACCATCATATGAGCTTACCTTCAGAATGCATTTCCATGAAATGCGCAGCAATGAGCAATTCTCTGACAAATCCCAAATGCTACACGAACTCATACTCTAAAACAGCGTTCTTAAAGTGTGGGGTCGCGATCCCTAATGAATTCGCAATATGAAATGTTGAGGGTCACGAAAATTTAATTTAGCTATATTAGTTTAAAGAAACATCAGTCGCAATTTCTTCATTATCTTTTATCTAATGCAGTACATTTTCTGTGCAGCTCGAGTATGAAATCGTAATGCTGCCCAAGTTGAGTTGTAAGTTATATTTACTTATAAAAATTATTACTAAACGAATCATAATAGCTGTGTTGCATTGCAATTATATGTTACAAACGAACAGCACATAATATCCTGAGTTACACAGGCATACCGAGAATAAGGTCGGTGCTAAGTCGACTATTGTTTACTCTTGGTCTATAGACTATAGTCGGTTGGTCTATAGATTCCATCTGCCGGTCTATAGACTATAGTTGATTTTAGACTATAGTCTTCAGACCGACCGAATGTAAGCTATAGACCAACCTACTGTTTCTTTAAAATAGACACTCCAAAATAGTTGCGTGTCATTTGCGATCGCAACGAATATCTTCATGACCGCATATCACTTATATCCTTCACTTTATTTGAGACTGCAGTTCAATATAGACTTCACTTACCTGTTTTTCATGAAGCGAAACATGTTAAATGGAAATAGAGTGGAGGGAAAAAAAAAAAAAAAAAAAAGGCGACTCGATCCATCTGGTGCAGCTGCCATTCCCTTGGTTACGAGGCAAGGCGGTATCGGAAAATAACCTTGAATTTCCTATTTCAAATAACAGACTACAGAGCAGTGATAATGCTTTTCCAATACAGTCAATTGCTTCTGATTCATAGCAACAATTGTGTACATTACAAAAATACTAAAATATGTTTACTGTTGTAATCGACTAAGGTGGGTATTTATTTGAATAATTACTAACATAAGTTTTTATTGTATTTATATTTTAGGATAAAAATACTTTTTAACCAATGGATAGATGGTTGAACTTTAATAACAAAAGTAATGACGCAGATAGCAATGCTACACAGTCTCTTCAAGCAGGATCAAGCAATCAGAAAGAAGCATCTAAAGATGCGAAAAGAAAGCATGCTAAGACATTTACTGTGATGGTAATGAACAACTTATTTGTTTAATTTGAAATAAAATTTTGGCTATGGAATGTATGAAGCCATCAAGATTCAAATATGGTGACAAAATTCAAAAAATTCGTTTGTCGAATGACATGGTCGCCAACAGAATTTCCGGACAAACTCGAGCAATTTATTACTAAGCTTAAAGAAATTTACAGTTCAGTTTAACAAAAGAACTGATGATTCAAAAACAGCTTAGTTGTTAGTATATGTCAGATACATTTATAAAGAAAACAGCGATAAAAATTTTAAGCATATATATAAGTGTGTGTGTATTTAGTGAAGTTGAAGAATTTTTTTTTTTTTTTTTAACTGAAGGTTTAGATGGAAAAATTACATTGAAGTATGCGCAGATGGTGCTGAAGCGAAGATGAACGGAAATGTCGGTTTTAAATCATTTATTAAATGATGCTGCTGGTAACTATCATGTAATTTTTACGCAGTGTGTGATCCATTGAGAGGCCCTTGCACAGAAAACCTAACAATGGTATTGAACTGTATGCTTCAGGAATGCTGTGAAAATGATATTTTTCCTTAAACGCCGTACTCTTAACATTCGTTTATTTTCAAATCTGTGTAAAGACATGGATTTAAAATACAAAATTTCATTATTAACACACAGAAGTAAGCTGGCTGTCAAGAGAGCAATTATTATATTTTCAACCGAACAGAAATCTGATCTTGACGCTCTTTTTCAAAATGACTTATTGTTATTAAAGCTATGCTGTTTAACAAATATTTTTGAGAAACTAAAACTAATATTTTTGAGATCTTAATTTGTCCCTTAAAGGGAAAAAATAGCAATATATTTACTTCGAATGGTAAAATTAAAGGCTTCAATAAAAATTAAAAAAAAAGGTTTGAAAGAATAGGGGGGAAAATAATTCATTTTAAACGTTTTCACCTATTGATAGTTTTATAATTGAAAACAAAAAATACTGTAAAATTTTAATAGCAAAACTTATTGTAGATCCCTTTAAAACTATAGAAACACAGTTTTGCAAATATTTCATATCGAATTTTGATTTCAAAAAGCTATTTTAGATTCAAAAACCATTTTTTGATTGACATTATTGAGATTAATCTCTTGCCATGTACAGTAAACCCTTGCGAGCCCGGATTTGCGGAACGTAATTTTGCATGTAAATGTTATTGTTTTCATTAACTTTTTCCAAAGGTAGTATCTCATTCATAAGCATTTCAAAGTTCATTCATCAACATTGAATGCTGGCTTACATCAGCTCTCACCAGAAGTTATCAGCAATATTAAAGGATTTCCATCGACTAAACGTGAAGCCAAAGAACCGCATAAAATGCAAAAGCAATTTGTGGCGAAAGAATTTCAGATACAGGAAAACGAAAAATTCAACGAAATAATCCAGAAATGACGATTGAAGACTCGGATGATCTTATAAAACCAGTCTACAGTAAAAGCAATGATAATGAAGAAGATAAAAGTGCCTTTACCTTCCAAGAAGTTAAATGATTTTTAAAAAGGGGCCACAGAAACTGTCTGATTTTGCAACAGAGATTGCCCCAAATGAAGAAAGATGAGAGTTTCTGAGAGACATTGGTAAAATTCTGCATTCCAAACACAAAACCTTTAAAGAGTGTGTCAGTCGTTGTCCCAAGCTAAAATCACCAACTTTAAAAAAATAATAATTGTATCGCATACTTATTAGCAGTAATTTGAAAAATTTTTAGGCTTATTTAGGTTGATTAAATTATGCATACAAACTTATATATACTAAAGTGTGTTATACATAACACACTTTCTCCGTAAGAAGTTAACTTTATAGAACGTGATTTTGCCGTACGGGAAATGTATTAATAACATAACCCACGCGTTCGGCTATGTGCTATCGAGTGACTCAAAACTTGATTTTCCACAAAATTACCTGGCTGAATTTTTGGGTCAGAGCTAAAAATGAATTTCCCACAATTATTGAAATGGCATTAAATGTTCTTCTGCTGTGTAGCATAGCCTACTTATGTGAAACACCCTTTTCAGCTTCAACGCTTATTAAATCCAAATATAATTTAACACTGAAAAAAGCCGAAGATGGTTGCGTCCAGCACTGTCAAATATTGAAGAAACGTGATATGCACCGAAAAGCAAACACATCCATCTGATTAGAACGTGATTTCCCTCCATTAATTTTTTTTTGTATACTTGAAACAAATATTAAAATTACTTCTTTTCATATGCATATTACTTATATGCATTATTATTAAACAATATTTATTAAACAATATTCATGTGAAAATATTTATTTTCATATTTAATAGCTGGGGTCACGAAAACGTCTCTGTGATAAAAAGGGATCGTGAATAGAAAAAAGTTTAAGAAACACTGCTTTAAAAATTGGTTTTTTGCTCAGTCATTTTTAAAGTTGCGGAGCCATAGAAATGTTTTTAATTGCTGTAGAAATCGGAAGAAAAAGTTCCGTTATAATACAGGAGAAGTTAATTTAGTTTCATTCAGTAAGGAAATTAAATTTTTTAAGACTTTACGAAATTAGAATATCCACTATCTCCAGATCTTAATCTTTTGGAGTTAAAGCATTAATGAAAATTCGGAATATTTATTTTAAAATTGTTTAATTAGGAAATTATTAATAGGAAAGACGCACTAAGACAGATATTTGTAATTTAAAATAACAAAAACCTTTTTAGTGCAATTTGAATGAATTTATTACTCAGTGAAATGTGCAACAACTTTATTTTATAACAGCAGGTATATGATCTTAGATCACTAAATTTATCAAAGTATACAAAATAACATATTATCAAAATTTTAGAAATATATAAAATATTTGATTTGTAAATTTTTATAATTTAGCGTCACATTGCTTCATTCTCAAATTCCAGATTTTTAAAGCATACAAATATGTAATGAAAGCAAGGTAGACTATTTTATTTCCTTTGAAAAAATATTTCAAGCAGTGTATTTAACAGATAAAAAAAAAATATTTCTAACTTGTAATTGAAGAATTCTCTTAAGTAATGTAATTGTATCTTTTCAAATAAAATATTTCCTTAAAAAATATAATTATATCTTTTCAAATAACGTATTTCTTTAAATAATGTAATTCTATCTTTTGAAATAACATATTTCTTTAAATATGTTATTTGAAATTATATTCTATCTTTTAAATAACGTATTCCTTTAAATACATATAAATAATATTAGGATCCTAGTAGGAGCTTTGAGCAGTGTTTAGTGAATCTAGAAAACATAACTCATCGGCTGATATTTTCGTGGATAACAAAATCAAAAATTAAATATCAGTAAATGGCCATCGATGATATATTGTAACAGGAAGACAATAAATTCGAAGGTTATGAGAGGAGCATATTATAATATAGTACAAAGTTGTTCTCAAAACTAGATACCCGTGTAGAAGTTCACTTTTATAAATACTTTTAATAGATTACGAGAAATAATTATTTATAAATATTTTTCCTGCTTTCAGTATAAACATAAAATATTACCAAAGTGCAAAAATATTATTTTTTTAATCAGCTCATACAATTTAAAAATTGCATGTATTATTCGAATTAACGATAGAAGGGAAAAGAGCACAATAAAAATTATATAAATATTTAACAACATTCAAATATTTAATTCATGAAATACCATATGTGTACCATATGAAATACCATATACCAGCTGAGGCCAATTTAAAACTGGGAAATTAGAAATTGAAAATGCACTGAATTAAAAATTAAAATTTAAGGAATGAAACTGACTGAAATTAAGTTTTCAACAGAATTGTATTAAACTTTCATCTTTCGATTTATAGAAATATTTTAGAATTCCCCTACAGCTGATAGCTTGTTTCTTAAGAAAATTTATAAAGACACGTTTGGCAAAATGTAATAAGATTAAATACCATTTGTTGCTAAACGAATAATACAAATTAAAGGTTGTTTTTATGTGAAATCAATTACTTTCGGTAAAAAAATATGATTTACTTCTCATGCGATAGAAACACATTGTATACTTCTGTAAGAATTACAGGTACTAGGAGAAGTATAACATCTAGCATATTTCTCCATATGGAGATTTCGTTTAATTCTTAAATGCTGAAAGTGACTTTTTTATAAAATCAGGTCAATTCTTATTATTGCTTTGATACTTTTTTCTTAGTTAAGTGACAAACTAATGGCTTTTTCTGAAATTCTTTCCAGATTTTCATCATATCGCTCACAGTTACGTGATGTCCGGTGATAACATCTTTGAAAGCACATGCCGTTGCAGGCCGTTTCCAGTAAGCAAATCCTCTCACATTATAGCGTTTCACATTGCATTCGCTGGCACATAATCCTGTAATAAACACATCTTCCATCACTAAAAAGGGAACCGTGGCACTTGCTTCCACAAGTTTCGGTACGATATCTCGAGTCATAACATAACCGGTGCCTGATAAGTAATCCGGAAACATATCTGCTTCGAACTGGCTCTTTGGCACGAACCACTTAGCAAGTGAATTTCTGTTTGGTTTAGCTTTTCGAAATAAAACACCATACATAACATTAGACTTAACCGGAAGCCTTAGAAGAGTTTTAATTAAATTTGGTACATTAACATACATATCGTCGTCAGTTTTTAGAACATACTGCACGTTCGGACAAAAGTCAGAAACCCACTTCAGAAGCATTACTGATTTTAATGTAAGATTTTGATACGAATCAATAAAGTCTTGTTGAATAATATCTGCGTATTTAGAAGATTCCTGTTCTACTTGTTGCTGCAATGTTGTATTATTCGTTGAACCTAACAGAAATGCTAACCTGACGAATCCTGTATTGTTATTCGCTGCAGCTACAGAACCCCAGGTCTCACGAATTGCTTGCCTTTCCTTTGCATTAGGCACAGCTGTGCATACTAGTATTATTAAAGATAACTTGCTATTAATTGTTGGCCCTCTGGAACATAAATCTCGAGGATTCAAGGAAAATTTATAAGAAATAACTGATTGAAACTCTGGCAAAGTCGTAGGAATACTTGTAAATTTTTCGCTCGTGTCATTTTTGTCAACTTCTAACGTGATTATTCCGTTGTCTTCTGTTTCGTTATTAGGGTTTGATATAAAAGTCATAATCTTAGAAGGCTGAATATAAATGAAGCCGAGAACCAAGTTCAGGAACAGCAACAGGATTAAAGTTGCAACGCGCCGTATGGTCATGTCAGGAAGAGCACTTGATTTTTACTGAAAAGGAAGTAAATGAAATTTGAGTGGCAGTGATAGCTTGACATACACATCTCATGAAATGTAATTCAATTTAAATAATTTGAAACAGGAACGAATGCTAAAAAATAAAGACGTATAATAATGAGAAAGAAGGGAAAAAATGGGCAAGTATGAAAGCAGTTTTACATGTAATGTCATTTTTTTTAATTTGGGGTACACACGAATAAAATGCAAAAGTCAGAGAATTCAAGTTTTAATGCAAAAGTCAGAGAATCATTGAACAGGCAATTTGTTTGGCGTAAACTTTAATGCTGTGAAAAATTTGCTCATATTTAGCTTAATTTTAACAGTTAATATTTTTCAAGAACCAACAATTTATTATGATTTTAATGAGACATGAACAGCAATTAAAATTTAGATTAATGTAAAATTAACACGAGGATGCATTTTTTTTTTTTGTTTTTGTTTTCTTGAAGCGAGAATGTAATAAAATGAATGCAAGAATGTAATAAATATTAGTACGTTAAGCCTAACATGTACTGGCGAAAAAAATGCTCTTTTTTTTCTTAGGCTGGATATTACGTTGTTTATGTAAATAGTCTGGAATACTTGAATTATTCAAACTCCTAACCTAACTTTTAATTTAATTTTAAAGAGCAATATGCGCAAAATTTCACAGGAAACTGATGTGCAAAGCAGCATGGCAAAAATAGTTTAGTATAAACTTTATAAATATGTTTCTCAGTTAATTTTAAAAAGCAGTATAACTTACACATCTCACGGTAGGAAACATATAATATATTTCGAGCACACGCTCGAAATGCCATAATGGTCCCATGTCCTAATAAACCAGGAGAGTCATCTTTACGAGTGACGTCGTTTTCGACCTTCCTCTGCCATCAGCTGATTAAAATCCAAAAAGCGTGTCCATGGATTCCGCCCATCAGTGACAATAGTACATTGTAGAAGTGCTGTAAAAAAAGAAAGAAACAAAGGTCTACTAAATTTGAATTCTTTAGACGACAATTTTATGAAATTATCCTAGATAAACGAATATCACAGTAATAAGAGAATATATACGGAAACCTTTTGTTCAAATCGTGGAATTAAAAATTACTCATTTGTTGGGTGCCGCAATAATGAACGTTTGCCTGGTGAACTGCATATTTGCTACGTTTTTTATTTAACACGAAATAGTTGTGCATTTTAATAATAAATAATATATTTAAAATTGTTTGTACTAAGTACCCCTCTCAAGCAGCAGTTGCTGGTCATAAAGAGCTATGGTCTATATATACTTAGTATCAGAAATCAGTTTTACGCATTACATAGACCAAAGAAGTGATTCATTTAAGGCAGCTATAGATGTAATAAATAGTACAGGGATGATTAGTTTAAAAAAGGAATAACCTAAAATGATTCGTTTCAATAAGAAGTCAGTTTTCAATAAAATGCACATAAACTAATGCATGACATCTAATATTAAGAAAGTACAACATCATTTTCAGATGTGAGGAACACAAATAAAGATTAAAAATCAATTTTCGAGTGTTTTAAAAATGTACGTTGCTAAAAATATATAACTTTTAAGGTACGTGCATATACATATAGGATATAAACATTTGAAAAATTGAAATAGTTATTCAAATTTGCATTCTTGGAAATACATAAATCTTTACATAGCTTCTGCGGAACATATCTATTTTAAATGATAATATTTGGCTCCACGTAGACAGTCAGTAGACTGAGACAGTCAGTAGACTTATCACCTCGTCTTTGTCTTCCAGCGAAACAACACCGGACCTTAGTCTTCCGGTGAAATAACACCAAGCAGAGAACAGCATTTAAAGCAAACCATTCGTTCTTCAGTCTAGCAAATTTGCACAGCTTGGGTACAAATAGAAGATGCAGGATTACAAGAATAAAAAAAAAAATTAAAAGGCCCATCAGGTGGGCGAGCGGATAAGTCGCTGAACACTGGTAGTTCGGTCCGGGGTTCAAATTTCAGCAAATGGGCTGGCTGTATTGGCATTTTCATGGTTTTCCCCATGTGTAAATGTGTATACAAACCAGTTTCCATTATAAATTCCCCCACGAAACCATCCGCCACCTTAGGCAGATAGCCCTCGTGTGCTTTATCGTAATCAAATAAACCAAATCAACCTAAAAAAAAAGTTAAAGTAGCTTATTTCCTCGAATATTCCCCCTCCCTTTTTCACTAATTTTATAGTCCGAAAATCGAGAGAGGGGGGGGAATTCTATGACTAATTTAATTTCCGAAAGATGCTTTTGCGGTAAAAGGATAATAAATGAAAAATAATCACGGATAAACCGAAGGTAACTATCGCAGCATTACTTCTTTAAAAGAAACCTACACTGCAATAAGAACATATAGTAGTATTAAAACTACAAACCTAATAAAATATGTGCATTTCTACTTCTCTTTAACTCGAATCTCGCCCGTTCTTACTATTATCTGTGCTAGTCCTTAAGCTTCGAGTCATCCATAAATAATTAGGGAAGGTGAATGTGCAGCTGACTTAGCGAAATCACTGACTGAATGTCAGTTCGTGTTTGCTTTGCTGTGATTGCTCGGTTGTTGTATTAGGCTGGCATAAAGTTCAGCAGTTAGAAGGGAAAGTTTCGGCGTGAACTTAGCAGATAGTTTGTAAGGGTATATCTTTGTTAGTAAGACGAAACAATTACTATGTGGACGAACTAATTTGAAAATTTAGGGGAGCTCTTTGTCTAAAGGAAGGGGAAAATTTAGCGCTGAGGAAGGGAAAAATTACGCAAATATTAAAAAAAAATTCAGAACCTGTGGCTGGAAAACTAGGGGAAAATAAATGGGGAAATATGGCATTTTAAAATATGCTATTCGCAAAGCAAAATCCTCCTGTAAGTCTTGGCTCAGGCCCTCAATTCATGTGAGCAAATACAGTTAGCAAAGGCTAAAGTGGATTGAACTAAATTTCGAAGCTGGATGTAAATAAGTGAACTAAATTTAGAAGCTAAATCTAAATAAATATATTAACTTTGGTATATTGCTAACTGACAAATATTAGCTGGAAATCTCAAATAATCCTTACTTAGCGTAAAAACTAAAATAGTTATCTCAGTTACTATTCTTCGTACAGTTTAAATACTTGGTTATTGCTGTTAATAGCTTAAGTTAGATTAATACAGTGAATAATAGTCGAGTAATTTCAGGTTTTATTCGAAAGTCCGGCATATTTTTCCAGGTCTCAGTCTCGTTATGCTCGATTTTTGCAGCTCATTTCGCTTTAGTACATTTAATAATTCCAAAGTTAACACAATTATTTTTTGAAATTTGAAAGCCTTGAATATTTATTTATTTTATTCAAAAAAGCAAAAGTTTTTAATTAATTGAATTAAGACATGTTTATGTTAACGAAGATCAAAGCTCATAATAGCATATTTTAAAATCACCATTTTAATTTTTTCCTTAAAAACTGAATTTAAGTTTTAATAATTCAATATAATAAATAATAAAGGCGTCAATAACCTTAGATAAATGATGATTGTAATACCTACATTTGTGATAAGCCACGAAATAAAATTATCAACGTATGAAAGGATACAGCATTTTACAACTTGTTTAGTTGAAAAAAGTGCAATTATAGATTTCGTGAATTTAATACAATCTTGAATTTCCATTAAGTAAAGGCAATTACGTAAATAACTATTTATTTAACTTATTTTATTAACAATGAACTTTTTATCCCAATAGGCGAACGCTTTCACATCAAGATTGCAGTAAATTGAGGTATATTTATTACGAATGTATGCTTATAAATGAATTAATAGCCATTAGTGCAAATTTGCTGCTTTGGTTGGTAAATGGAAATATCCCCATATGCGGTCAGGTCGTAAATTTACAATCCCTTTTTTCAGGGGGAGAGGTGACAAGGAGGGGACAATTTTGCTCCGGATCTTCAGAAAATGTGGGGGTTGTTTAAACATCTAACTTCTCTACATTCAGGTTTATACAGAGGAATACAAATTGAATCTTCGAATGAGGCATTTTGTATAAAACGATATTTAACGATCAACTGTAAATAATAACATCTTTTTTAAGCCATAGGTGAGAAGACAGCATTTGTTAACGCCTAATTTGTATAAATATTGAGGTTTTCATTTCGAATGCTGTTCATGTGGAAGGTAGCTGAGTATGGAGATATGTATAACCGAATCTTCGACCTTTTCCGGCTAAGGACTGTTTCAATTACATGTGGTCGCTGCTTTTGGTATTTCTAATGACATAAACATAATGGTTTTTATTTGAGACTATGAATAAAATAACGCTACTAGACTGCAGAAATTCTTAAGAATGAAGTTAAATAATACTAAATACATTTGATGCCTTTGGTTTTATATGTAGTATATTATACTATAAATCCTTAAATGGAATCTTATTATATATCTATGTATAGGTATATATAAATGGACCAATATAGAACAAGGTATTAAAATTCTTTTTTATATTTGTTCTTACCATAGTAGATTTACGAATAAATTAAATTTTTTAGGTTTGACATATAATTTATTTTTATCCGATTTTCCTTTTTTAATCATATATATTTAAATACTCTGATAATTAAATAAAATACAGCATTTTGTAAGCTACTTATTTATATTCTATGTTTGTCTGGTTGTTGATTATAGCAAAATCGACGGTATTTGCCTAGGGTAAGGGTGCCTCGTAGAGACTTTCTGCAAAACTACTCTTGTGCACGTTACACTGGGGAAACTCGAAAACGCCAATACATCCCATCCCCGTCGATCGTATCGACCTCGTATCACTGCCAGATTCAACAACTACTTTACATCTCAGCCGCTAGTGAGCCCCACCACACACACACCACACACACAATCCACACATATACATTAAATAGTATTACATGTCGTTTATGTTAATTGAGTGCAATAATCACAAAGAGTTAGAACTATCTACGTAATTACTTCACTCGTAGACTTTTGTTAGCTCACCATATTTCTTAAAAAGAATCTCATGCAGTTCTATTTTCCAACTGTTTATGTACTATTTTTCATGCTTTGATATATTTAAAATTATTCCACTTGTTATAGCTGAAAGCAGTTTTTTTTATTGAGAATTTAGGGTAAAGAGAATTATGCCCTTTTCTAGTTATCTAGAAGCATTTAAATTTTTTTTTAAAAAACGCACATTAATCGGATCACTGAACTAAAGTGCTCGATACAGACAGATTATTAGCACTAATGTTGATTTTCATTGGTAAAAATGAATTCATTGCAGTCTATAAGAAAGTAAATATTCAAAAAAATTTTTTTTCCTTTCTCGCAGTCATAATTATTTTTCTTAATATCCATCGAATTCAATTCAAATTCCAAGCCATACATTAGTATAATCATACAGTAATAAATTAAAATCAATATGGATTTTAATTGATTAGTTGCATTTTCCCTGATAAACCCCTCTTAGAGTTTAATAGCAGTCGATCAGCTTTTGTTGGGTGCATTTTTCTTTATGGTATCTTACTTATTATTATGTATTTTCTTGCTCATACTCGCATTGCAGCTTATATCTTTTGTAAAAAATCAATATAGAATCCGAAAATGATTCTTAGCGCGCTAAACTATTATTACTATGCCTGTCTGCCCAGTGTTAAAAAAATCCCATTGTTAAGTTAGATTCTATGCGCATATCCTATCTAACATTAAAAGCTGCGAGTCAAATTAAGGGGTGCTCTTAGAAAGCCTCAATTAGAATATTTATAGGAAATGTTATCATACTTATAATCTACGATTAACACTTTTCCCTATTTGATCACGTGTATGAACGATATTCGTCTTCTAAAGAAAAGAAAGGTGCATCAAAATAAATTTCAGCCCGACTGCATCCATTGAAACTATTCTCGTAATAGCAGATACTATTTGTTATTCTCTTCGTAATTTTCAGTACATATATTAT